CCCTGCCCACTCACTCGACCTGCCCATCCCAGCCCTACAGATATGTTACCTTTGCCATATGGCCCAGCTAATCGCCTCTCCAGTCACCTCGCCGACCCCCGCTCAGCTCCCAAAAGTAAGCAATGCATACCGCTCGCTCACCCTTCACTTTGGGTCAGGGTCCCAAATGGTGCATATTCCCCGAGGCCCCGGAGCTGCTGGCCACCTTTGCCAGGTGCCATTCTCCAGCTCTGCCCCTGCTCCAGAGCCACTGCCTGCTTGTTGCCCACCTTGGCCGGGTTGGGGAATGCGCCATTCCCCAGCTATGGACTTGCCCAGAGCTGTTGCCCACTCACTGCCCGCTTGCCACCCGCTTGCCACCCGCTTGCCACCTGCTCACCTTTCGTCAGTGGCACACATCACCCCCTTTCCCTTCCTTTAAAGGCCCCAGCCCTAGCCCCGCTTCCTCCCACATAACCACCTCTTTCTTCAGGTTTACTTTCCTGCTGCAGTAGCTGGTTCAGACTCTGGAAGGCAAGCTCTCTTTTTCGGTTCGACTATAAGAAGCCTCCCAGCTGCCGCCTCTTTGCCAGCCACTTCCTGGCAGCGGTAGCTGGCTGGAGGCCGCTAAAAACTACTAGAGGTCTCAAATGTGTCAAAAAGCCACTGCCGTCACCATCCTGATCCTCATGACAGCTGCACACGCACACCCCATTGCCTGCTGCACTGGAGGGACTTGCCCGGGGCAAGTCGGAGCGGAACGGCTAGGAAATAGTGACTCACGCATAGCCGTGAATGATGTAGAATTTGCCACGCCCACCCAGTCACATGACCCACCATCACCAAGCCACGCCCACAGAACAGGTAGTAAAAAAAATGAATCCCACCACTGTTTTCCTTTCACTTCTGCTTGCACTAAGTCCATCAGGAAGCACCTCAACTCAGTTACTTAACTCAATGCAAACTCTCTGGGATCTAACTAATGTCAGTGGCATGAAGTTCAAACTTACTAGTCTTATTAGGAATGTAGAATGTAGATGTAATACTTATTTCTCAAAACCAGATTCCATAATGACTTTCGATATCTAACCTAAAAGTAGAATCAAGAAATGTAAAATTAGCGGTACCTCTGTACATTCTTGGAGATTTTTGTAGAGTTCTACCAGGCTCTCTCTTGATGCTTTAGTGGCAGGAGACAAAGAAAAAGCATGTTTCATATTTGAAGCACCATCTCGCAGTCTACACTGGATGCTGTATGCTTCATATAATTCTTCTACCTTTTTAAGAAAAGAGCAGAGATATATATGTACACCGAAACGTGTGTGTGTGCATCTGTACCAAATATATGCCATATCATTTGTTACCACTACGTGGAAAGTTATCGTGATATTTCCAAAAGTTGTTCCACATGCATATCCCAGATTGTGGAAATATTTTAAGTTTTTCAATTATTTGTGATAATTCAATCAAGTCATAATGGTAGTAAGACTCAGCCTTGAGACCCACATATGGACTTCTATCAGCCAACCAGACATTTCAAGTGGGTTCCTTCAATTTTGATCCCTGGAGGATCATTAAGAAGCAGTGGGGCAGTGGTTAGAATGCAGTACTGTAGACTACTTCTGCTGACTGCCGATCACCAGCAGTTCGGCAGTTCAAATCTCACCAGGCTCAAAGTTGACTCAGCCTTCCATCCTTCCGAGGTGGGTAAAATGAGGACCAGAATTGTTGGGGGCAAAATGCTGACTCTGTAGACTGCTTAGAGAGGGCTGTAAAGCACTGGGAAATGGTATATAAGTCTAAGTACTATTGCTAGCACTATCACTATCATGTGAGCAGAATCCTAGAAATTTGTTTGCTTTTCAATAATAGTTATGGTAAATTTATTTACAATTGTTTATATAGCTTAAAGATTCACCAGAAGGAGCATTACAATTACAGGATTTAAATAACAGAAAGACACTGGACTAGTGACCTGTTGTGCCACAGATATTTCCCTGTCTAGCTAAACAGAGAAACAGAATGACCAAGGGCAAAAAGATAATGGGACCAGGGGCAACTGCCAACTTCCTGCTGGTTTGACTACATCTGACCACCCGCTGGCAATTACAGTAATACATAATTTCTTCATCATCAAATTCTCTCCATATTCATTTACTCTTTTTTTAAGCTTCTGTTTCTATTGTTTAACCATTGGTAAAATACATCCCACGTTATTCAGTTTCTTCTTTATCCTTAATAATGAGCATTAATCTGTCCATTTCTGCACATTCTAATATTTTAATTACACTCTCATCCGACAGTATTTTGTCATTTTTCCATTGTTCCCTAATATAATTCTAGCTACAGTTAATATATGGTTATACATATAGTCTTTTTGTCATATTTGTCCAGTAGAATGCCCAGCACAAATATCTCAGGTTTCAGGTCAATATGCTGCTTTATCATTTTTTTCCAACCAAGTGTGTATTTTCGTCCAATTTTGGGGGGCTTTTGGGCAGGTCCACCACATATGAGAGTATGAACCTATTAATTGACATATTATTGTTGAACCCTTCAAGCATAAAGGTGATGGGCATGGGATCTCACCTTTTACAGTCATAAAACACAACGAGTTGTGGCTTCTTCTTTTTCCTTACTCAAGAGGTTTAGCAGGCATGGCAGAAAACTGGTTTTACAGGCTAAACATGGGCTGCATTCAATAATCAGTGTGAATGCAGACATTGAGAAGAAAAGGCCTCTCCTTATACAAGGAAACTAATTAAAAGTTTTCAGAAAGCATCTAATACAATTTCCCCACAATCAATCCTACGGTGGGAAAAAAAATACTCTTTGTCAAGATTTGTTTATATCAATGCAATAAACTTGCAGTCAGAGAAACCAAACTCTTACCTTGCTTATTTGAAATTCCAGTTTCCTAATATATCTTTCAACAGAGCGGATTTGCTTTGAAAGAACAGAAAAAGATGAGCCAAAAGTTATTTAAACAATTCCAGATATTACATTGATTTTTATTATAAAATGTAGTTTCATGAAACAGAAACCCTTGTTTAGACAATGTAGGTGTCAGTGTTCCAAATATCATGCAGAATTAAATCAGAGTCAAAGGCAAAACTATGCTTAAAGTTCCAATTTAATAAGGCAGGCATGTTGGAAGTTACATCAGAATCCCACCCAGTTAAAAGTTCATGATCTTGTTCCCCACACCCACAGTCCATCACATGGCCCAATCTTCTTCTTCCACGCTAGCACCTACGCCCAACTGCTTCCGNTATATAAAATATGATCACATTATATTTTGATGTCACCAATCTATCTATCCCAATCAGTTCCACATATGCTGATCTCAACCGAACCATTTTGCTTAAATACTGTGTTAAATGTTATTTTCAGATTCTGGCCGCACATAAGGTAAGTTGTTTTGATATGGGGATCCCAATGGGTCATTTGCGTTGTTTAAAGACCAAGGTAGCTGTCTCTCACTCTCTAATAAAGGCAACAATCAAGTAGATGTGAGTCAAGTCAATTGAGAAGGAAAGTGAGGAGGAGAAAGTAGGGAGAACTAAAACTGCAACTTAGTTGGGTGGATTGCCAAGTACTATGGAATTAGTGCTACCCTTCAGGGCTATTTTCAAAAGCTACAGAAATTACAGACTTTCCATTCAATGAACATATTTATCATACAAATATACAAGCCCAATGTATCCCTTGACCCAATTGGATGCCTGGCAACTGACTCATATTTATGACTGTTGCAGTGTCCAGGTCAGGTGATCTTCTTTTGCGACCTTCCGACAAACAAAATCCATGGGAAAGCCAGATTAGTTTAACAACCTTGTGACTAATTTAACAACTGCAGTGAATCACTTAAGAATTGTGGAAAGAAAAGTCATGAAATGGGGTAAGGCTCACTTAGCAACTGTCTCGTTTAACAACAGAAATTTGGACTAAATTGCTGTTGTAATTTGAGGGCTACCTGTTAAGTTGCCTAATGAACCAAGTGCTGTTTATTTGTGTTTGTCAGCTAGATTATTTCTAAACATGGGTCTAGAGCTCGTCTTGAAGAGGGCAAAAAAATAGTTAGCTGATTGGTCCTACATATTTGGGAAAGAAGCAGGAGGGAGTTGGGGCGAAGGGGGGGGGATTTGGAAAAAAACATGTCTACAAGGACTATACAATTATATAGGATTTCAGGTAGGAGATTTTTCTTTCTACCTAGAGATGTCAGGAGTTGGACCTAGGTACAAATAATTTCTGATTAATACTAATACCAAAGTATCTGTTTTCAATAATTTGCTAAATAGAATAGAATAGAATAGAATAGAATAGAATAGAATAGAATAGAATAACAGAGTTGGAAGGGACCTTCAAGGTCCAACCCCCTGCCTATGCAGGAAACCCCTAAAACAAATGGTTATCCAACATCTTCTTTAAAATGTCCAGTGTTGGAACATTCACAACTTCTGGAGGCACTGATTAATTGTTCCAACTGTCAGGAAATTTATCCTTAGTTCTAGGTT